CGGGGCCGGCGCTCCGCTCCCTCTCGCGCGCCGCTCGGCTCCTTCACAGGGTGACACGTCTGCGGTGAGTGAGTGGCGTTGGCAGCCTGTCAATCCCTCACCGGAGCGGCCATCAAACAACATAAAACACGCGCGGGCACCGGGCGCGGGGCTCATAAATTCCGGCGGGCCGATATTTTTGCACATTGCTTTGCAGAGAGTGTGTAATTAATTTTTTTACAGTTCTTTCCCCGTTATTTCCGCTCTTTTCTTTGCACAAGTTCAAACTTTTGATTGCTGCTGTCTCACCCCCGTGCACAGACTTAGGATCGTTTGTTATTTGGGGGGGAGGGCGATTAATTTTTTTTTTCCCTCTGTGAGATTGTGTTTTCTTGGCTTTTTTATGTTGCAATTTGGGGGTGGGGGTGTTCGCTGGTTTGTTGTGGTTTTTGCTGTTTGCACCCTCCCAACTTCTGAAGGATTTGAAAGCGAGTTTTTTTGATTTTGTATTTAATTTTTTTTTTTAAATTTTGCCTTTTTGCAAAGAAGATTTTTGGACAAGTGGGGAAAGACATAAAAATCAACAATAAAAATAAAAAGGAAAAAAAAAAAAAAAGCTTTGGAAGAAGATTGTACCAGGAAAACCTCACAGAAATCTGCTCAGCTCATTTATCCGAGGCACCAATATGATGATGATGAAAGAAGATTGTAACTAAAGAAGAGAGTGATTTACTGCCCTGGGAAGGAGAAGAGAGTGGAATAAACAGCTGAGATCCGGTCAAAACACAAATACTACATTTTTTTTGTTATTGTTTTGTTTGGCTTTTTTTTTTTGCTTTTTTTTCCCCTTTTTTCGTGGTGTGTGTGCAGAGCGCGGTCAGGAGCGCGGCACTGGGACTGAGCGGGGCAGGCGCTGCCGTGACCGCCCGGAGCGCGGCCCGGCCCGGAGCCATGGACGATCAGTCCAGGATGCTGCAGACTCTGGCCGGTGTGAACCTGGCCGGGCACTCGGTGCAGGGGGGCATGGCCCTGCCGCCTCCCCACGGACACGAAGGGGCTGACGGCGACGGCAGGAAGCAGGACATCGGCGACATCCTCCATCAGATCATGACCATCACTGACCAAAGCCTGGATGAGGCACAAGCAAAGTTGGTTTCGTCTAATTAAACCTTGTCTTTTTAAAAAAATTATTATTAATATTATTATTTTTTAAATTATTTTTGGGGTGTGTGTGTGGTTTTTGTTTCTCTCCTTCCTGCTCCTTCCTCTGCAGAGACCCGGAGTCTCACAATTAAGAGCAACTTCTTGGGGCCGTAAGAGAAATTACCAGAAGCCAAGGCAGAGCCAAGTTGCTATTTAATTTCTTTCCTTAAAAAAAAAAAAAAATATAATAAATGTAGAAGTATGCGATGGTTCTGCCGTCAGTGTGGTGTGCGGGAGGCTGTGGCTAATCCCTGCCCGTTCCCGCTGGACACTGTCCGGTGGATAGCGGCCTTTGCGCCGCCGTCCATCTGTCTGTCTGTCGGGCCATCCCTCAAAGTACAACTTTGCCTCTTTCTTTCTTTTCTCGTCTCAAAGTGGCAGCAGAATGAATTATAAATCTGACCAGATATTGCTGCAGGAGAGGGTGTGTGTGTGTGTGTGAATAAAACCCAAACCAAACCCTGGCTGTATTAAATCACAATAAATACAAAAACAATGTTAACTCTGTA